ACGAACGGTCGACAGCGCTCGGCTGAACCTTAGCAGTTAATGTTGGGGCTACTTTTAGGGGTGAGGTTTGGAAGTTGACTTTAGGGATATAAGTTAAGACTGGGTTTAGGCTGCTAGGGTCGCCAGCTTCAATTATACCTCCCACAAAGGTCATCAAGAAATTCGGATTCAACGATTTAGCTTCCTTACTTTCTCCTTCAATTTCACTGGTCCGCAAGGGTTAAGATTAGTTCGCCTGACATAGCCGACCAGTGCTCTTGGCTAGCATTTTCTTTGCCCGTTTACAGATCTTAACTGCCGGTACTTCAAACTACGCACTTGCGTTTTTACGCCTTGCGATTGTATTTAAACAAGCTAATAGCGTAAATGTAACTTTTTTCTCTTCCTGAAATCTGCTAAATGTCAGTTTTGTTTGCCCCAACCATACGACCGCTTACACTATTCCATTTTACAGGAGTCCTTGCATTCCATTTTTTTCAGTGGGTCCACATATCCGACCATTGCCAAAATAGGTTGGCCTAAAAGCCTTCAACTTGGACGAGGCAGAGTCGCTAATCACGTGGGGAGCACGCCAGCTGAACACTCATTCAGCAACGGCAAGAACAACAAGAAATTGGATGCGGGTGCTGGCTAAATAGAACCATTCGCAACTGCACCCTGTACATTTCCTATCACCCCCACCCCTGCAAACGGTTGCTGCCTCTGCTGACAAGTTTAAGTGTGAATCCGCAACATCCTGCCAACGATTTTCCTTCGCTAGTTTGCAAAAGTAGGAGCTGCGGGAGAAGAATCCGAGAACATATTAGTGCTCCGTCTTCGCTGACGTTTCGGAGAGCTGGGTCGGCTGCCACTCGAGTAGGACAGATGAGTCCCGTTAGCGGTCAGGTGAACGTTCATCAACGAATGTCAATATTCCCTGACCTAAACCCGAGCTGGTGACTCAATGGTTAGGGCGTTTGACTCTGGTCCAAAAGGTTGCAAGTTTGAGACTCGAGTGTAGCCCCACTTGGGTCTGAGTATGACTGGCTGACGACGGCTACTAAGCCAGAAATGGCCATTTTAGTCTCTCTTGTTTTTGCCCACAATAGTATCTATTTATACTACCAGCTGTTATCGTTGTCAGGGTCTCTGGCAAGGCCCAAGGCAGAGTGGAAAAGATGAGTCCTGTTAGTGGTTAGGTAAATGTTCATAAACGAGAACCAAAATGGCAAATAACAATCATTTATGGACATTTTTCATATTTACTATGTCTGTCGCGGGCTGGTCGCCACCTTGCTCTATGCCCACAATCATATGAAGGGCAAGGCAGCGAACGAGAGAAAAAATCGATCAGCCCACGGTCGACATGTACAGTCACATCTTCAAATTGCTGATTGATAATGGCAGTTTACACTTTGACTAAGGAGAGCCGACCCAGCTCTCTGAAACGTCAGTGAAGACAAAAAAACTTCCGGCGAATATTAAGATGTTCTCAGTTCCCTTCTCAGTTTCGTATGTACTTTATCCAGAAAATGGAGGAATGAAACGGTACAAAGAAGGCCTCTGTTTTTAAGAATGGCAGGGGAAGAACCTACGCTGGCCTGGTGGCACAAATTAGCAAACTGCAACGGATGGTTGCACGATCTTACTAACGAACCCAATCGATTGATTGACGTGCAATACGGGAACGACGGCAATGCGGATAGGACAAGTTAAAGGTTGATAACGCGTGGGCAATGAAAATAAATTGAAATTTTATTCTCATTGCCCACGCGTTATAAAACAGGTTATTATCTCAATCTGAGCGCATATTCTTTAAAAAGCGAAAACATAGTTGCTAGGAAACGTACATCGCAACAGCCGCCGACGCATCGCTTGACGTGTAGACGAAGCAGCACACCCAGGGAATAATGTTCAGTTTCATCATGCTGATCATATCTGTGTGGGAGCACATAAAACACACCAACAGTGTAAGAATAGTGTTTGCAAAGAAGAGGTGGAGGGCAGTAAGAAATGGGCAAACATTACCGAAATTGACCACGTCGAATATTTTAGCTGTTTTGTCCTCACTGACTGTGCAAGCAAGTTCGCCATCACTGCTAATGGCCAGGCTGTGGATGGCACCTAGGGTAGTGAGGTGAAGAAGCGGAGACGAGGTGGTTAGTGGAAACGTAGTGCTTCGGAAAATAGTCAGTAGAAGAAAGGCAGCCTAGCCTGAGTACTTCAGGGGATACACAGTTTAAGGATATTGTGAACGGGGTAACAATCTATTATAGGGAACACCACGGAGACCAAAAGCCTCAGAATTCTGTAAGACGGGAACGGCGGTAATAGGTGGGCTATATGAGTGGGGCATTACGGCGCGCAGGATTGAAAATAAACGAAAAATAGTAAGCAAAAGACGGAAATAGTAGATAGAATTATTATAAAAAGCTAATATATACCAACGAAGAGGGCGCGATAGCTTCAAAATAAAGTAGAGTGTGAGAAATAAGAGGTAACTGAATAAACCCCTGATGAGGGGAAGTCAGTAGCCAAGGGGAAATGCAGCTAGTAGCGAGCAACAATATTTCGAAGGATATGAAGACTTTAAGCGATATTGGCGAGCCTATTCTAATAACAATTCGGGCTTGAATCGAATCCAAGCGTTCGAAAAGTCAAACCCAAAACGAATCTGACGTTGGTCAACTTTGTCGAAAGTGAATCTGGTCCAAAAATCCGAATCTAATTTTTCAATAGGATAGGGGTATCTTACTTCCTGAAAAGAAAACCTCCACAAACGGTACTAGTAAATTTATGCATGGAATACTGTAAATGGTATTTATAATATATTATGGATATAAAATGTAATAAAAACATCATTGTGCAATAATAGAAAAATTAGTCTTTGTTTCTGCGTATTAAAAAGTGTACAAAATGTCAAATGAAAGAACCATATAAAAAGTGATCCCTAAAGATATTCGTGGAGGGGGGGGGTGCAATGTGATAGATGGATGAACTATGTCGTACATTTTTGGTTAGTAACAGAGTCGACGTCAAAGGAGTGTAACAACTTTTGTGTAGCACTATGAATTAAGTAGGCTGTTATGTTAAGCAAAACAGAGCATGGTGTTACTTATAATAGGTTGTTACTGGGAATTTTAATGAAATTTTTAAAAGTTCAGAATGGCCTGGAATGACAATAACACGATTGTTAAGTAGGGATACACGGGATCAGTGAGGCTAGTCTTGATAGGCGAAAGGTGGGAACAGCTGCTTGTAAATTGATCAAATTCACCCCGCAGTAATTGTTGCTTTTACTTTTCACTGACTAAATGTGTTGCATGTTAGCAAGGAGGCAAGAAAAGAATACGGGGACACCTCCCGGCATGGCTAGCCAAAGGCGAGACCAAAAGCATAAACAGTTCTCTCCTCGCACACATGGTTGACACCGGACATCGTGTGGACCCAAGCGAGGCCTTTAAGGTAATTTACAAGGTCT